ATTGCATCCCAAACTCGCCTCCCCTACGTACACAGTTTTTCTATTGCTTTCACAGTCAAATACTGGGGATATCAGCAATACTAAAATAGACAAACCAACTGATAGAGGCTGATATTTTCTGGATTTTACTTGGGAAGCAGAAGGTCAGACAGCCACATTTATTTTATTTATTTGAATAAAGGGCTATTTTTTTTCCTCAAAAGCTAAAATGGTGGTAGATTGCGGTGACATCTCTGACTTGCTGAAAATTAAGTCATGGAAGTTCTGCCTAAGTCACAAGTTCTGCCTAAACTGCTACCGTGTAAAAGGCATTTTCTTGTTGGACAAATATGGTAAGCTATACTGTTCCATAATGCAAAAGTAGGCATAAACATAACAAATAAATTAACTGCCTTATTAATTGCTTGCACATTATGTCTTGAGACTACTCCCACAGTGCTTCTAATAATTTGCTAGTTAAGCGCTTCTAAAAACACATTAGTAATTTTTTCCACAGTTGATTCTGAGTACAATCGCAGAGTATTGAAAAGAGGAAAGGATCTGGTAGATCTTACAGATTAAAAGACTAGCAGATTCAATGTAGTTTCAGATTTTTATAAAGTCTAGTCTACTACATCAAAATTGGTATTCTACAATGGTGGATCATTATCTCATAACCATTTGGAGGCTCCTTACAGAAAGAAAACAAGATCCAAGGAAATGATGAAAGGAAGCAAGAAAGCATCCTAAACAAAATAAGTTATTATTTTTTAAGGAAGCAACTACTCTGTTGCTGCAACTGAAGAATCAAACTTGGGGAATCTGAATGCCTTTTGCAATTCAGAATATTCTACTCAAATTACAAATTTACAAAATTCAATGAACAGTACTTCATATGGAATAGGACACCTGTACTTTAGCAAGGCTCGCAGAGTTTCAGTAAGTGGGAGATAATCACAAAAGACTAAAGAATAATTGTGTGGTATGCTTTGGACTCAATTACTGTATCAGTCTTGTCTAAAACATTGAAATAAGCAAGGTGTTGTTTTTAAGAACAGTAAAATAAGAATATAGAACAGGAAGCTCTTTTGAGATTGTGCCCCTTTTTATTTTAATGAAACCAGATTGCAACCAAAGTCCATAACCATTAAAAGTTACTTTAGGTATGCCCCAAGATTTTGATATGCCTAACAAATATCTGCTTTCACCCCTATGGAGATCCTCCATAAGATATAGCGAACAATTTTTGCTATGTAGCATAACAGTCGCGATTCAAGAATTACTGGTCTTAAAACCCTGCTGGGCAGAATGAACTAGTCAGTCTGTTCTTGGTTTGTAGCTGTTTTCTGTTTCTAGGAAATCAATATCTGAAGACAAAGATGAAAATGAAAACTTTCAAAACTAACAGAGGAAATTTTTTGGCAACTAACAGAAACCAAACCACTTGATGCAAAGTTATTTAAGGGGTTTTTTAAAAAAAGAAAAATGCATTCACAGTGTATTTAACATGTACAACATAGGCTTTGGATTTTTTTTCAATTATCAGACTGAGCCTAAGATCCTACTTATTGGAGTTAGTTCTGTGGAACTGTATTTTGCTGTCACAAAACCAAACAAGTGCATTCATTCTGATGTCTAGTAAGTTTCAATGGGACTTAATGAATGCCAATTGCTGCTCAGAATCAAAGTCTAAGAGGAATAGCAACTGAATTGGATAAAGGTACTCCAGCTCAGATTCAAGAGAAAATATTTCATGGTATTTGAAAGGGGATTGATTAGCCTAGTAAAATATATTTTCCTGTTTTTTGCAATAACCTGACCTACATGATAAGTGGAGAAATCCCCATGCATTTCTTATATACTCCTTAGAAAATGTCACATCAATCAGCGAAAGAAGTATAAACTATCTTACCTATCCAAGATTCCTGGGGAAAAGGCTATGGAGGTTGCAGAAACTGATATTAGGAGGGTCCTTAAGACCGTAGTAGGTAAAAGCCGAACTCCATTCCTCCGTAAGGCCATTACCTGTTGCTAATTAAAACATAGTTATATCAGGAAGAAAAGACATTCAGAGGTGCTCCTTGTTCTTTTTTACAAAAAGGCTACTGGGCTTAAAAAGAAGGGTTAAAAGATTTCTGTCCATCCTACTTGAGTTTGCAAATCTTTTTTCTTCCCTTAATCTGGCCTTATTCTTCAGAGTTTGCCTTAACAAGTCCCTGGAGTTTTCTTGGCAAGGTTTTCAGAAGAGGTTTGCCATTATCTCTTTTCTGGGGTTAAGAGAAAGTGACTGGCCCAAGGTCACCCAACTGATTTTGTGCCCAAGAGACACTAGGATTCAGTCTCCCAGTTTCTATTCTGATGTTTTAACCACTATGTCAAACTGGCTCTCACGAGAAAAGTCTAGAAGTACTTATAAAAGCTTAGTATGTGAGAAAATGCTGAGTAAGTTTAACTTCTTTATCTAGGCCTCAAAGATACACATACAATGAATTCCAGGCTCTGTTAACATTTTACAAGTGACATAAATGCAGTAAGTAAACTACAGAAGGCCAGGAATGTCCAGATTCCAGCGAAATCCTTCAGGCTATCATCAGGAACACATTCACAACTGCCTTCACCATACATTCACTTGCTTCCATTCACACATGCAATCCCCTCAATACTAACTGCAATAGAACTCATGAACCATTCGCAATAAAAGAATAATGGGAAAGGCAGTAGCAGTCGTACAGGTGTGTAAGAAAACATCGAAAATCTGGAAAGAGCCAAAGGCTGAAGGTAATTGCTTTTGCTTTGTAGCTGCAATTAACACAATTTGCATCTGATTTAATACAGCAAACAGCAAATGCTAGGCTGGAAGACATGGATCATACTGGTGCTGCAACATCTTTTTTGCTATAGTTTATCCTAAAGGGAAGGGCATTACTCCAGTTTTTCAGGACTTTTAATAAGCAAATTATGTGAACCCCTAGAAGCGTAACATCTGTTCTTTAAAACCCCGAAAGATCCCAGAAGCAGAATGAATTTATTTCAAACAAAATAACGGTGAGAGTCCTAATATGGTCCCGCATTTTACCTGCTTTCTGAAATTCCTACGCTATGGACTTTTTAGAAAAACTTAGAAACTACAAAAGTTTCTTCCATTTTTTCTTTTACATGTAGATTTATTATAAAGAAAAACTCACATAAGATGAAACATATTTGTACGCTTTCCAAAACTGTAATTACCTAAACATTCCCCCATTTTTAAGTAAGCTGCACAGATGAAATGTATTCTCTCTCCACCAGGCACAATAGATAAGAAATGATAGGTTAAAGGCACATTCATTATCTTTTTCATCACAAACTTATACCTCTTTCCAATATCTCACCCTGATTTGTAGTGACGCTCAGATCCATAAACAATTTAATAATTAAAGAAAGGAACAGATCAGTTCAGAGCGGTGTTTGCTCCAATTCTTTTCTAACAATCTCATTTGATTTTATTAAACACCCTCAAAACCAAAGGCTTTGGAAGAAATCTTCCTAAACTGATGGGCATGGCTCCTACTTATATTTCTGACTCCAGATTTCCCCACTCTCCTCCCAACTCTTGCAGAGCAAAAGCAGGTACAGTATCGTCAGCACCTCACAAATAAAAAACTCATTTTCCATCCTAGCAATAAAATTTTATTAAAATTGTTCATTAATGCTTCATATGCAGCAAGAACGCATAGATCCCAAAATATACATACGTCTTTTTTCCTTATAGAAATAGATCATTCTTTATAATAAAAAAAACCAGTAGGAACATCTTTAACAGATTACTCAATCCATGACTGACAGTTACATGAGGTTGCATCATGTATAGCTGGTGTTCCCAGCCATGTTTAAAAGATTGCATCATTCTGAACTCACTTCTCTCCTTTAACGTTATATATATTTGTTTAATTTAAATAACACTAAGCACTCAAACTTCCCACCCACCCCAAAAAAACAAAACAGGAAAAAAAAAAAACCAAAACCCCTTTGCAAAGACAATCATATCGGATATTAAATGGCTTCTTTAGGTTGAGTTTGGTATGGGCTTTTCCTTTTTTTTTTTTTTTTCGTAGAAAAAAATAATGAAGTTGAAAAACTACGGATTCCTCCATGAAGTCGCGCAGAGATCCATAGAAACCGGCAGAGAACTCCCCCCGCCAGCCGAAGGAGTCATACTGCAAGAAGCAGCTTAGGGCGGAAGGTTTCTCCCATCATCAAACAGCGCGAATTAAAAGGCCAAAAGTATAATTTATATATATATATATATATATGTTATTCAGCTTTGTTGTAGCTACAACTTTAAAAGCACAACTATAATGACGTGGGAAAATACCCAAACAAAGCTGAATAACATACATGTAAGTACCCACGAAAACTTCCCCCTTTGGGCCTTTCTCTTTCCACCCCCCTCCGACCCGTGCTAGTCCTGAAAAGATGGGCAGATGTACCCACAGGGGTCTCCAACCTTGGTGACTTTAAGCCTGGTGGACTTCAACTCCCAGAATTCCCCAGCCAGC